TGTTGGGTAAATTTCGGTGTGCTCTAGTTGCTGGTTGTCAGTCTATCTTGTAGCGACCCTAGCCGAGATGAGGGTTAATAACGCTATGCTATGCCCCGTCTGGTCCCCAGTAAGAAAGAAAGACGAGCTCCTAAGGGGGGAATTATTTGTAAACGACAGCAGACGATATTGACAGTTCGGGAACAGCGGGATGTCCTTTGGCGAGGACAGGCTTGTTTGGATGCAAGCCTCGTTTGATCCGGGCGGCGAAGACGAGGCAGGAGCAGCGGTGGCGTCCAGAAGGAGTCCTCCGGTCCAAGGGTGGTCAACGTCAATCCTCCTCGGTTTTTATAGGGCCTCCAGACGATTGGGATAGGTTCACATAAAAATAGGCCAATGGGTATGCGTAAATCAATTGCAAGAATACTAGAATGTAAATCGTAGCCAATAGAATCTTCGGGACCGTTTTTATTGACATTCTGGCCTAAACTGGTCTCTACTAGATCGCTGATAGGCAAACCGAAATACCCAATGGTTAGTCGAAAACTATTGACTTAATTTGGCGAGATCCAATGAGAACGACAGTTTAAAGTGTCCTGGACCAATAGAATTGGAGAATCTAAAATGGCAAACTTGCGTGTGCCATCCAATGGGAACGCCGAGCTTTGTACTGGCAATTTGTTATCCATCTTAGCCTAACTAGCGAAAACGAGGAAAATTTTGCTCCATCTTTACAATCTGGCCAGCTGTAAGTGGGGCGGTCGCACAGGTCCTACTTGTTTTTCAGGAGGCTTACCATCGTTGTCTGGACGAAGAGCTGGAAAAGATGATTAAATATATCAGGAGTAAGAAGCATTCAATGGTAAGTCATAATCAAAACTGTCAAAATACTATTGAATTATGTATCGTATAGTTCTTGCTAATGTGAAATTATAGGAGTAGTGGTCGACTGTTAACTATGACCTAATATGGTTGTATATCTGTTTAATATGGCCTTAATATAGACATACGCACGACTAATATGCAGGGTTTTATCGAAGGGTATATTTTTATTAGCTTTATAAGGGATATTTAGTGTCAGGTGACATAGCTGATGAAAACGAGAATGGGAGGAAAATAGAAGAATATCATTATCTGTTCTATGTTTATCAATGATGCTATCTTTTATAAAGTTGATTATTTTTAGTGCTATGTTCCGGTATTTTTCAATCGGCTGGCATCATCAGAGCCCTTTTGGACCAAATTCTATATCAAAGAATTGACTTGAAAAAGGTCCTATCTTATTCGAAAATAAATGTGGACTGTTATTTGAAAGGAATTTCTTAGTTTTTATTTTAAACTCGATTAGGGTTCGACTTTTCCGGATAGAACTTGGAAGAGAATTCCAGATAGTCGCATATCTTATGGTGTAGAAATTCGACCGTTGGGACTTTGTGAATTCGGGAATCCTTATAATATCCTCGCTACTTCTGGTGTTTTGGTTGGTAAGTAAATTCATTTTGAGAATATCTTGATCGTGGGTGACCTTGAATAGGAAGTTTAGACCATTTTGAAGCCTTCTGATCCAGAGTGGTCGAAGACCGTATTTATGATATAGTTCTAAGTATGAACCCTGGATGCCATCACTTCTAGACAAAGATCTAGTAAAACGTCTCTGAATGCCTTCTAGTTTCTTTCGGCCGTCTGAGGGCATTATGCCGAAGAAAATTGAACAGTAATCAAGGAGAGGTAAAACATACATTTTGAAATTATTACATATGAATCGACACAGGCGAGTGGCTTTCGGTGATATTTGTTGGACGTGGGGAGATAAATCAAGGGTATTTGTATAGCTGAGACCTAAATCTTTTACCGATTGGGCCTCCATTATTTCATTATCCTCGAATATTATGGGGGTAAGTTTTTGTGGGCCAAATATCAGGAGATGGCATTTTTGGGTGAAAGGGCATCTGCCACTGACTACTCCATTCGCTGAGTTTTCTGAGATCAGTTACAATTGTTCTATGAATATTGGCTGATGTATTCCCGTTATATGCATATGACACTTTAAGGTCGCCCGCATATAAAAACGTCTTGGCTGAGACAGATATGGACGATAAGTCGTGAATATATATAAGAAATAGAAGGGGACCTAGGATAGTGCCTTGAAGTACTCCACTGGTAATAGGGGATGGTTCTGAAACGACGTTTCGAATTTGCACCACCTGGTATCGGTTTTGAAGATAAGATTTAAGAAAATCGAGAAGGGGTGGCCTAATTCCATGACTTTTTAGCTTTATCAGTAGTCTTTTATGGGGGACCTTGTCAAAGGCCTTTCTTAGATCGAAGTATACTGAAGCTACTGTGTTTCTATCATCTCTATTGCTGGAAACGAATTTCAAAAAAGTAAGGTGGCAGGACTGACATGACTTTTTGGGTAAAAATGCATGTTGAGAGGAGGGAATGAGGTTGGCGTTCATGAGATGGTCTAGCAATTGGTTATATACTATTTTCTCGAGGATTTTAGCTATAGACGATGTTCGGTGAACACCACGATAGTTTTGGGTATGAGATCGGTTGCCGCTTTTAAATATGGGCGCAATGGTCGAGTATTTCCACATGTCCGGAAAAATTGCATTTGACTGGAGTAGGGTGAATAACTTAGATAGGAGTATTGGAGCATATGTCATATATATGACATATATGAAGCATACATGCTTCAGAATACATGGTGGGATTTTGTCTGTCCCATAGGATTTGGTGTTTGATAGTTGTTTGATGTCTACTTTAACAGTTTCTTCACTAAAATGGATCTCACTAAGGATGCGTTCAGTCATCTCGGTCAGTTGGGGGATGGTTTCCTCTTCTACTGTCTAGTTAGCTGAGAAGTAGCTGTTGAATAAGTTTACTATTTGTTTATCGTTGGCTATAATAATAGTTCGTGGTCCTGACTGTCGATGATTACTCATTAGTTTCTGAAACATCTGAGCTGTTCGTTCGGGGGATTCTAGTGCCCGATGTTCTGCTGCTATGGTCTTTTGTGTTTCTATTTTCGTGACTAGGTCGTGAATTTCCCTAATTCGTCGAAGTGTGGAAAAATAACTCACAGAGGGGTCGCGTAGCTGTTTTTGTAGCTTTTTTGGTTTAGTTGAAAGGAAGTTCGGGATTGGTGATTTCTTATACGGGAGGCTTTCGTCTATCAAGGTATCTCGAATTACAAATAGGACAGAATATAATAGGTTAACTGCTTCCACAGGGGATGTTGTAAGAAGATATGGGCTCCAGTCCAATGATCTAATATAGTTGTTCATGGAGTCCTCGTCAAGTTTTTTTGGGTTTAGGCGGGTGTTTCTAAAATGGGGTGCTAGTTTTGCGTTTAAGGGGAGTGTGGTTGGTGTTCTTTAAACTCAGTGCTGTTTTATTCACCTGAATAGACGCACCCGAGGTCAGAGCTATGTCAGAAGACAGTCAGGATAACTCGGTTATTGTTTGTGGTTCTATAGCAATAAACAGTGAGATTAGCGGAGCACAATAGAGTTAATAAGGTGGAGAATAAATTGAAAAGGGGACGTACATTCGAGGTGATAAGACGAGCAGTCAGCGAATGACGCCAAGGTGTGGTGGTCGGTTTATAAGCGAGCGGCAACAAAGAGCAATAGGCAATGGACAGGGAACAATGAACAAGGAATGACAAGAACCGACGAATAGGGATACAAAGACAAAGACAGGGCGGTGTGCGTAAAATCTGGTTACTAGCAAACGGTTAGTAGCAAAGTAAAGACAATAATAGAAATTGACATCAGGGATGTCACACTCCCCCGCGGAGTCGCGGTCTCCGAGGGCCTGAAAGCGTCACGGAGTTTCCGTTTGATCCACTTCTCCTTCCAGTGGGCAAACTTGACGTATGTCCCTCCGTACATGACCTTTTGCTGTGCGAGCGGTGACTCCACGAATTAAGTTGTCCGATCCTGCGTGTACTTCTTCGATTATTGCCTTAGGCCAGACACCTCGGGGTTTGTCTGCCTCCACTAGCAGAACAAGTTGACCAATCCTGGGACTCGGATGCGTAGATTGCCACTTCCGACAAA